CTGGATGGCAGCTGCCATTTAAAGGGGCACTGATCTAACGCAATTCCCCGGACTGGTTGTTGCCTTTGTTATTGTTTTTTCCCCCGTGAGTACCCGGATGATACGCAACGCAACTGAGCGTGACCAGAGACTGGGCTACCGTCTGCAAGGACAGCTAAATAAACTTGGAGGCTGGAGGCAATATATATGTTTTACGCATTTTTGCATAAACACTGATTTGTTAACCGTGATCTAAAAAGATTTCGACAAAGGGCGCATGTTAATTAATTTCTTCAGCCTAAACTAACAGACAAAAAGAACGGCGGAGCTCATCGGATGTCGTCATTTGGAAATACCCCAGATGGTTATAGTTAACACTAAAAAAAGTATCCATGCAGTGAAAGCATTTTCGGTTTTCGGATTGCGTCGACAATACGATTACTTCTCCCTTGTTGTCATCCACGTTTTCTCGCATAACCCTACACTTGTGTATTTGTCGTCATTCACTTGATGAATTTATTACAGGTACAATTAGTGGTAGCACCACATAGATTACCTGACAAAGGTTCCCATTTGGCATTTATTGTGTGTGGGGTAATTATTCAATCTAAATCCAGGTTTGAAGTGAGGTGAAATGTGTGTTATGTAATATGCACGTGGCAGACCAGCAAGAGGTGAATGATCAGTTGATTTACTTTTTTTGTAAATCAACGGATCGTTCCTAGTCATTAAAGGATTAACAGAAAATACGTTGATTGATTAATCACTGTTATCTTGCACAGTGGATATGTCAAAAGTGAGTGTTTACATGTCTAGGTTTACTAAAACAAAGGGAATACACACATATCCTTGCGTGAAGTGCCGATGTAAAAGCAACATACTTTGTTCAAAGGGTGAACTGATAATACGTTGATTGATCATTGTTATCTATCACTCAATGGATTTTTTATGAACCGTGGACGTTATGAAAATAGTTGTCACGTGGGCTTTCTCAGCTGACCCTTGAGACTTGACACCTATGTGAAACACCTGAAACAATCCAAGTGATCAGTTGAGAAACGAACACGGGTTATAATATCCCGAAACGATATATATCTTTTAAAATATGTGATTGTTACAGAGACACGTGACATCGAATAGGTTTCTTTGTACAGCTGCAGACGAATGGGATATTGTTCCTTGGTGTGGATATTCACGGATACATTCCTCGAACAAGGAAGCTGCCTAAAATTTATACACATAAATTTGGTAGGTTGTAATTATGGTATTTGCATTTTGTTTTCCTTCATTTGTTGTAGTATTGAACCGATTCGTCCTTGTTTCTCTACGTCTTGGTTGGGAAATTCTTCAATGCGCGATAGACGTTGTTTTCACAGGCCTTTTCCCTTGTAAGCGTGTATATATTACCGTCAATTTGTAAAATGTAATTCTCTCAGGCAATTTATAAAATGTGTAAATATTTCAGTCATTTTGACTAAAAAATCTGCCCAGATTGATTAAGGCGATCAAAAGGGCCTACAAACATCACAACAGATTATTATGTAGGATTAGAAGCCAAACAACATAGAAATGTACTTTTCAAGGTAACATTTTCAGTCTCTTGGTGATGACATTAAACATCAAAATGTTTGGAATTCGTTATCATAATAATACAGATGGAAATGTTTTTCAGTCACTTTGTTAAATAACTGAATATTTAGGCGATGAATAAATTTGAAAATGTTACACATTTTGACAGTAAAAAATATACACACTATCAAAAAGCAATGCTCAGGTGAAATATTTACTTTGTGTTGCAAGTCAAAATAGTGTAAACGAAAATCGCAAAATTACCAAGCAAGTGACTTATCAAAACTTCGTCACCATTACCGATGCTAACCACAAAGATACCTACATTTCCTTATTATCTCCAAAACTGTATTTCATTTTGTTGATCAATGTGACCATACGCCCTCTATATTACTACCCATACAAGTGACTAATGCGCTTACGAATGGCGCAGCAGAGGTCGCGAACTAGTCTAGATTTCTGCTATACATCCGGGTACTCACTGGGAAAAAACAATAACAAAGGCAAGTCCCGGGGAATTGCGTTAGATCAGTGCCCCTTTAATTATAAAACAGACAGTCGTCTAGACGAGGGGAAAAATTCGTCTGCTCTAACTGCCTTCACAAAAACATTCCAGCCCTTAATTACCGAGGCAGCTGTGACGTAGTAGCATTACATTCGCTGCGTTTGCAGCATATAAGATGTGTAATCTGTGGAGTAACTAAAGTAATATTACGGCTGAAATCTTACTTGCATGGTTGTTTTAATAGAAAACTTACGTTTTAAAAACACAATTGTTCTTATATAATGTTTTTTGGTTTGGTTTATAAATACTAGAGAAGATGTTTTATACATATAAAACTGATCGAAAATACAGCTGAACAATAGAAAAATCAAAATAGGATTCCGTCAAACAACTGTCAAACCATTTATTGCCATGCATGTACGTACATGTACACAGGAAGTCGGCACTGTCTGAGGCTCCAGGTAAATAAACATCGTGGTTTTATGACGGGAGATCAGACGAACCGTGAACCAGGGGCATGCGACGTAATTACGCCTAAATGTGGTAGAACGAGGGTATTGTCTCTTGAACTGGCTAATTGACCGTACATATAATTGGTAAATATTTTCGTTTTGACACCCGTGTTTCATGCGCATCCCGGCTCAAATTTGCGGATGACGGAGCCCTCTGGATCCGCTCTAAAAGTACTCTAACATCTCAGGAACTACTACAAAAATCCCTAAACAAAATTCAACAATGGGCCGACAAATGGGGCTTCTCCCTAAACTCTGAAAAAACCACAGGAATAGTATTTAAACACAAAAGCATGAGACAGACCACCCCTACCCTCAAACTAAACAATAAACCAATCCAATTTCAGAAGCAAACTAAATTCCTAGGACTAATTTTCGACGAACATCTCTCCTGGGATGCTCACGTCCAAAACCTAACCACCAGATGTAGCAAAGATCTAAACACACTAAGATGTCTAACCGGCTCCAACTGGGGAGCCTCTAAAGATACCCTCCTCAGTCTCTATACATCCCTAATCAGATCCAAACTAGACTACGGCTGTGCCATATACGATACCTTAAACGAAACCCTAACCAAAAAACTAGATTCAATACAATACCAAGCCCTCAAACTAGTCACACGTACTCAACATGACACCTCCCTTACATCCCTGCAGGCCCTTACAGGAGAAATGCCACTAAATTTACGTAGGCAACACTTAACACTAAACTTCTGGGCAGCATCTCAATCAAACCCCCTTCTACAAAACCTCCTTAACCAAAACATACGTCCCCAAAACCAGGCACTAACTAGGAAACACCCTCTACTCACTCCAATATCCCAACGAATAATAAACTACCGTAACGAACACCAAATAGGAAACCAACAACAAAACTGCAAACAAACCAACGTATTCACCCCAAAACTTAAAATCCCCAAAATAGACACATCCTTAGCCAACTCAATAAACAAACAAACTGACCCAAACATAGCTAAATCCACCTCACTAGATTACATTCATCAAAACTGGCCAAATTGGTGTCACATCTACACAGACGGATCTGCTGATCTGATCACAAATCACACAGGTTTCGGAGTCCACATAGCCCAACCAATTAGAAATACTCAATCTTTCCGACTCCCAAACAACCAATCCATCTTCACTGCAGAACTCATGGGTATCGCCACGGCGCTCCACAGCCAACACACTAAAAACCAACAAAAAATCCTAATACTTTCAGACTCACTAAGTGGACTTCAGGCCCTCCAAAACAAAAACACCAAAAATCGCCCCAAATTAATAAACCAAATTCTCAAAAGCGTAAATAAACTAACAGAGGCAGGCAAAGACATAGTACTCATCTGGATACCAGCCCACGTAGGAATATACGGAAATGAAAACGCCGACCAAGCCGCTAAACAATCCCTAAAAATACCAGAGATAAGCCTTAAGCTACCAATATCTAAAGCAGAGATCAAAAGTATAAACAAACGTAAAATCACCAAAAAATGGCATAACCTCTATCAAAACACAAACACCCAAATCATAAAAATCCTCAAAAAACCCCTTACCAAACCCAAAATCCTCCACCCCTCCAAAAAAATCGATAGAATTATCACCAAACTCCGAACAGGTCACACCAAACTAAATAACCATCTACTAAAAATAAAAAAACACGCAAACGGGAAGTGCCCACACTGCACTCACCCAGAAACAATAGATCACGTACTACTACATTGCACCCACTACCACACCCACCGTACAACATTACAAACCAACCTAAATCTAAATAAAGCTCTTACCCTAGAAGCAATCCTAAACCCCCAAAATAAAATAGAAAACTTCAAAGCCCTAGGCATATACCTAACCAAAACAGACCTAATTAATCGTATCTAAAAATCACCAAACCACCAAACACTAGCATATAACACAACAACTCACCCCCACACACTCCCTTAGTCCCAACCACTCCTCCAAGGCATGTATTCCAAATCTCAAAATTTCCAAATTTTATATAAGCAACCACTAAACCCCCCTCCTTGGTTGCACACCTTTTCTTCCCTTCTAAATCATTAAATGGCCCGGCCGGGCCCGTGTGCGAAATACGCTTCAGTCGGAAAGCGCACGTAAAATCCCCTAATATAAGTAAGTAAGTAAGTTTTGACACCCGTGTTTCATGCGCATCCCGGCTCATAAGCAGAGTACAGACAAATGAGGCCCCGAGATCAGCGGAGCGTGAACAACATGGATGCCGCCTTTCGGCCCTACCGAACAGTCAAGCTGCGATCTCGGAACTGCTCGCACGATTGAATCCAATTGCAAGCGGAGACAAGATTACTTCCCTTACCCAAACATGATCGTTGCTCAGAAATGTTCAAACTATCTTCAGTAAATCATGAAATTAATGCGAGCATGACATACTTGATACTTGAAACTGACTAACATGACATCAACATGGCTGGTCTTCGCAATGTTGAGTTTGTTATGTCACAGAGAGGAAAGCCCCAAGTCCCATTTGATGGTTATCTTCACACTAAGAACGTCGAGAGACTGACTTGCGTACACTGGAAGTGTGTCAAGTCCACATGTAGAGGAAGACTCACGACAGTAGGAACCGTGATAAGGAATGCTACAGAGCATAACCATGCCCCATACATCGTCACTACCTGGGCCGACCACGGAGCACGATTCCCCCTACCACTGTGGAACCATCACGGTACAACAGGTCCCAGGACGAACAACAACCTGGAAGGCTTTCATAACCGACTCAACCGAGGTCTCCCTCACCGGCATCCCAACATCTACCGATTTGTGGAGGTAGTCAGGAAGGTGGAACAGGCAGAACGAGCTAAGATTTTACAGCTCGACTTTGGAGCAGCTCCAAGAGGCAGGAAGAGAGTGTACAGAGAGGTGGAGAACCGTCTCTGCCGCCTGAGGTGAGGTGAGGTGAAATTGGGTTTAACGTCGCGTCCAAGATTATTGCACTTATATAGCGACGTGCATGCACGTGTATGTGTGTGTGTGGCTGCTTGTACTAGTCCGGACTGATGCCGATTTATAGTGCTAGCTCACTGAGATACCATGCCGCAGTTTAACATGAATACCCCACTCAGACACAGTATACTGACTCCGAGCCGACCAGTCCTTGTTTTAGCCCCTTAATGCCGAGCGCCAGACAGGGTAACAACAAGTACAATCTTTTAACGTCTTTTTGTATGACGCGGCCCGGGATCGAACCCTGGACCTTCCGCTCTCCGGGCGGACGCTCTACCACAAGACCACGGAGGCGGTCTCTGCCGCCTGAAGGACGAGTTGAATGAGAGGTGAAATCCCCAATGCAGTTTCTAGATGCGGTTGGCCATCTCCTCAGGCTGGGATAAAGAGTGAATTGAACATTTGAGATGAAATTTATTATAATGTATTATGAATTTTGAAAAATGAACATTTTGTTATAATGTATTATGAATTTTGAAAAATGAACATTTTATTATAATGTATTATGAATTTTGAAAAATGAACATTTTGTTATAATGCATTATGACTTTTGAATAATATCGTAATCGTAATTAAATATTTATCTCAATCTATTCGTGTTTCTTGGGTTGTTCCATTGTATGAAATAGGTAACAGACTAGGGATTAGCGGTGCCATGCACCGTGAACTTTGTTGTCTTAAGCTGTAGGGGAAATGGGATGTAGGGGTTTTGGGAGGTTACCGGGTGGAGGACCAGGGGCACTTTGAGTTTGACAGGTGTCATCAACTGGTCAAGTAACATCACGGTTTGTATATTCACGTTGATTGGACAGTCTAGACTGGCGCCAACTAATCATGACGGCGTCTTCAGAACAGAACAGAACTTTATTTCTCCCAGGTTTAGGCTTACGTGGATAACGGAAAATTTTGTTTTAGTGATAGCACATTTTTAATTCAATCTAATATACTTTCCTTGATTGAGTATATGACTGCGGTCGTAGATCCGGATGTATCTAAATATGCTCAGTAAATACACAGGATTTATTGTTATACTATTAGGATTAATAGATACAATTGAGTATTTACACCCTTGATCATAAAGTTAGTCACTACTTTTATTTTCACATGTTCGATTTGTATGATTTGGGTTATGGTTAAATTGACAAAATAAGAAATCATTCCGTGTATATGTGTATTATATTTGTACCCCAATACGTAATTAAATTGTGTATAAATAAAGACACTAGGTTAATTACTGTAATTGATTATTTGATAAACATATTCACCTTTAGTTGCGTAATATGTCACAGAGGTAAAGCTAATTCATAACAACTAATTGTCCCATTTATTTGGCTTCTATCTTTTATTTGAAACAAATGCTATAACGTGGGGTAATAAACTTCATTGGCAATAGACGTAGCATATAATTGTCCGCATGAACAGTCTACTCTGTTCCAGATATGTTTATTCATTTTGTCAGCATTTAAATCGTTGCATTCCTGGCTCAATGATTCATTTGACGAAATCTTGTTCCCTGTTTTGAATAACCGTCAGATAGTTCCAGACCAATTATAAAATTTCCAGCCCTATGTGTTGCGCATAATTCCGAGATAATTCGAAGTTCATATTCTTGTACGAACACTTATCAAAATTCATTTATACCTAGTACTATTATGTACATATGTATATAAGTTCAAATTATTATAATGAGGCCCTCTATTCTCGAAACGGTCTTTGTTCTACGACAACCGTAAGTCGGTATGGGAAAACAAAATATTTGTTTAATTGTTCAAAGTTCATAGTCAATGTCATATGATTATAGACAAGGAAGATAAGAAATTAAATATAAAGAGTAGCCACTTTAAATGACAGAAATTCTTTCAGTTAAATTTGCTCATGGTTTGGTCTTTTCGTGGTAAATAGTGCCAAAATACTCTTAATTATTTACTTTCATGTCATTACTAATCTCACATAAGGTCAAAAGTTGTACAACGTTTAACAGATATGATTATGACATGTTGTATCCAAACAAATCCAAGCTTGGAAATATGACCTTGACAAATTTTGGAATGGTCATATAACCATTTGGAATGGTGCCTGGTATTTAGAAGTTTTTGATTGTTTGGAATGGATGATATTTTGTCCAGTGCTTGTTCTAATCGGGCGAGGTTGTCTAAAGTTGAGCGGCCTGGGGTGAATCCACTTTGATCATGGTTTATTATATTGTTTTGCTCTAGATAGTGTTGGAGTCTATTTTTGACCATTGCCGCCATGGTTTAACATAAGTTTTGGTCTGTAAGAGTTTGCCTCGTTTGCCTGTGTGTTCGGTTATAGTAGTGATTCCAGAAGATTTTTGGGTAGCTGTTTAAATATTTGGTGAGCACTAGTCCAGGGGCTGTTCCTTTTGTTTTCTATTATTTAGAACATGGAGCCGTTCCTCTATTGTATATTGTTGGTTAATTTCTAGGTTATCATCTGTGGGTAATTTTGGAGATTTTTAAATTGTTTTTGGAATTCCTCAGGGAAGTTACTATTACTACTGATGGCTGAGAAGTGGTTTGCTAGGTTATTTGCTTTTTGTTTAGAGTTTGTTGAGTTATTTATGTTCGGTGTTTTTTGGTTCGTTTAATGCCTCGGATTGCGTGTATTTTGCGCCATACTGTTCTTGCGTCTGTGTGATGGTTTATTTCTTCGCAGACTTTTTTTTACAGTTTTTGGCTTTTGCCGTTTTGACTAGGCTTTGTACTTCATGGTTTAGTTGATGTGCTATCTTTAGATGTGTGTAGCCTCGTTAAGCTTTATTAAATGCGCTTTTGCGGGTTTTTTTAATTTCCTCGGTCCACCAGGGTACCGTGGTTTTGCCTATTATTGGAGTTTGGAAGGGGTTAGTATTTTTTGCTTTGTTAATAATGCATTCTGTTAAGTTTTGGCAGTATTGATCGGGGTCTTTATTTTCGAGGTCCGCTGGTTTGATCTGTTTGCAGAGTGCTTTGAATTTGTCCCAGTCTGCCTTGTAATTGAATTTTGGTTCTTAGGTTTCATTTGGGGTTTGGATATGATATGTTTCCTATGGTTATGTGGATTGGAAAGTGGTCGCTACAGAGTGGCTCCTCATGCACTTCCCACAAAGTGCTTTGGGCGAGATCAGGGGTACAGATTGTTAGGTCTATAGCCGACATATTTTAATTAATTTTATCATATCTAGTTGGATGGTTGTTATCTAGTAGTATTAGGTTTTTTGTTCGATCCATTCGCAGTGAGTTTGCCGTTTTGGTCTGTTTATCTTTAACACCCCAGGAGGTGTGGTGGGCGTTCGTGCTAGTCCGTTGGCATTCCACTGTAATATGCGTAGTCTTTCCATTATTTAGAGGGCTTAGAATTTGGGGATTAAGTTATGTTTAGGCATAGGTTACTATTGTTTCTATTTTAAGATTTCTTCTTGTTGAAGTCCTGAAGGAGGGACTAGGAAGATTTAGTTTGGAAGCCGACGCGTGGAAGGACTTAATGCTGGCGCTGATTTGTTTGAGTATATGTGCTAGTAACAGTGTAAGGTTACTTAGGGTTTTGTATCCTGTCTGGTTTGATGTTTTACGCTTATGAGTTTTTTGGGTTTTGAAGGAGACATTCAGTGTGTCTAGAGGGTCATATTCTGTTGTGAATGAGTTTTCTCCGCTTATGATTTGGGTTGGAGTGTCAATGTTGGTTGGTTGTTTAGTTGTCGTGTTGTGGGTTGATGTTGTGTTTGTTTGTTTGTTGTTAGTGGTGGATTTGTTACCCTTGTTTTGGTCTGGTAGTTGTTGCCCTAGTGGCTGTGGTGTTTTGGGTGTTCGGTCTGGTTATGGTGCTTGCTCTGCGGCTTGTTTTGCCTGCGGGTGTAGATGTTGGGGCGTTTTGTTGTATTGAGAACTCCACCGTTAGAGATCTCCTGGATGCTGGTGGGTTGGGTGCGTGAAGATGGGTGCATTTTCGGTAAGTAGGTCTCAAACAGATTTTATGTTTTTTAGATGTTGTGGGTTTTGGTAGTGGTATATTGTTTGTCTGTGGTGTGGCGAGTTGTGGTTTTGATGTGCGCGGTGCTGGTTTTCATGTTTGTAGTTTTGCTGTGTAGATGTTTATGTGTTTGTTGCCTGTTGTGTGAGGGTGTGTCTATGGGGGCAGTGATTTGATAGTGATGTGTGGGCTATAGTTTTGCAATGTATGCACTACGGGGCGCATGATCCTAGAAAATGTGGTTTTCGCGCATTTGGTTATGCATTTGTACTATAGTACATTGTTTAACTGGTTTAATATAAGGTTTAACTTCTCGTTATTTTTGGCGCCGAAAGAGATCGTTTCTGGGGCTTTTGGAATGTGCTGGAATACTGTTAAAAGCGGCGTTAAACCCAACTCACTCAGTCTGTTTCACTTTTCAGGCTAGACGACTTCATCCAAGCAAAGGAGTTTGTAGGGTTGCTGGACACACCCCTTCGTCAGGCAGTTAATTGCAGACCTTGGGCTTCTGCACATGATAATGCCCTGAAAAATAGCGTTACCCTTATATTATTTTAAGATAGCAGGACTACTGCTGAGTGCGCTATTAAACAACCAACGACCTATACTGGCTGCATCACGGGACAAAAACAAGAAAATGAATAAGAACCACTAGAAGCAATCAGCTTTAACCTAAAACTTGCAGTTCACTCAGTCCATTACTTGCAACTGTTATAATAAATGTAAATTATAACAAACAAGAAAATATTTCTAAAGGCCTTTATTATTGGTTAGAGGATTGTTTGAATTAGTTTTTACAAAAATCTATTTCAAAGTGTTGGTGTGGGAGGGTCACCATCTTAGCCAACACATCTGCACCAACAATCCATTACTGATACAATGGGCTCTGGTATTTTTATAGTATATTTTGGGTCGCCTCTGTTTGCATGGTCATCAAAGGGAGACAGGCAATATAATCTAGCACCATCGTTTGTTGTTCATAGAGAAATAAGATGTGTTTAAGAAGTAAGGTGTCAGTGATTCCCCCATTAGAGAACTTAATGGCAGGTGGGTGACCATCAGTCCTACTTCTTCAATAAACCAGAGCCATAAACACAACAGATAATTACAGGTCACATCACCGGGACATATTAGCAACCTGCATTCTGATTGGTCCACCAGCGGTACTTCAAATAAGTTAGACCATGATTTTGTCAACTGCTTTTTTTTACCAATAAAACACATTTACTTGAAAGCACTTCTTTCATAAACCTGACAGATGAGCAACTGTAAATAATTACTTTTCTTAATAAATGCTTTGAAACATACTGTGTTGTTGATCTAAGAATATTATCAGCAAATGTGGTAATACATTTCAGACAGAAAATATCTACCACACCACAATGCCGGGGCATGCTTGCTTCAAGAACATTATGATGTCATACTGGTGCTGCCTACTAGGGCACCCAACGCTGCAAGGGACACTTCATAGTCCTTCGTGTGGACCATTTGCATAATGCTACGTTTGTGTCTCACACTGAGCAAGTTAAGTATTATGGTGAAAGATAATGGTTTGAGTATGTTAAAGCCAACATACGTGGAATAATTAAGAACTGAGTTTCACTTTGTGTGAGTTCAATGGAGTATGAACCTTCATCGAGCAAGGGCAAAACAGTATGAACTTATGAGCTTGTGACAACGTTCATAAAATGTTTGACCCTCACACAGGTTCATACTCCAAAGAACTCACACAAAGTGCAAGTCAATTCTTATAACTTTTTACATCACTGTTTTTACCTCAAATTACGTAGACCTTGATCTATACACAATTATATTTAGTACGTGTGACTTCATGTTTACACTGACAGCCATACAACAACCAGCTGTATTGCGGAATAAACTAATTCCTCAAAACGAGAGGTGACATGACAACTTTTGTAGCTTCTGTACAACACATGTACTGATAAATATCACCATTAGATGAGAAATGTTTAAGAACTACCTCAGTAAGTCAGTTACAATGACAGCACGTCGTAATACATTTACATCAAGTACAAGACGTCAAAATGGCTGACATGAAAAACGCGACGGGAGGGATTTCCAATTTTTTTTACGAATCTGTGGCTATTACAGGTGTTAGTCATTACTGATCAATTGGCCGATCACTGAAAGGTGATTGTAAAAACGTGTCAAATAGATACTGAGGTACAATAATTTCTTAATTTGAAGTTTACACGATACATAGCTTTTAAATTGGACGAGTGGTCGGTCACATTGACGTTCATGAGTGTATGAACGACAAAATTTGACGTTCAAACGTTTTCCACAAGGCCGTGTTCTTGAAAAGATTAAACCACTGACGGACTACTTCCACATTCATGGGGACCCCCTGGGAATTCCAGGCACAATTACATACAGAAGTGTCTTTTTCTGATCATTTATACTCTTTAACCTTGAAGTCAGCATTTTACTATACACTGAGAAATGTCAGAGAGTTTGACTGCATGATCGTTCACGAATATCCTCGCTACGACCAGAGACCATATAATATTATATGGTCTCTGCTACGACCCATCCTAGTGAACAAAACGAAGAACTGCAAATCCAAACTATCGTAGTATTGAGTGGATCCGTGTCAAGGCTGACAGTGACAGTCTGCAGCAATCTATGAATTTACCTTAGTGTCCATTTGACGTGTCAATGATTGCGTCTTGTACGTAAATGTATTACGATGCGTTATCACCACTTCGTCTATTATGAAAGATTTCACAGTATTTTATCACTTAGATTCAGGACCTCTTTTCAAATGTCCCTTCTGTGCCAAACAAGATTATACATTTGATACATTCTCTTCCCTGACTTCATGAGATCAGAAACCTGACCAGGATTTGGGTATTAATATGCTCAGTATTTGTAAAATGTACAAAGATGTACAAATCACAAAATAATATTGAATGGAAAACAAAACCAAAGATTGAAATATAGAAAAAGCCACCATTCACACCCTACCTTTTGGATGAGAACATTCAAACATAATATCATCTTATTTTTCTGCAACCATTAGAATCTCATCAGATTTCAAAGTTGAATTTGCTACATCATTCCTACAAAACCACATATCCCATAAGGATATTTTAGTTGATGAAAACTGCTGCAGAAACTCAAATTGTACAGCAATGATTCCCATGTATAACCCTCATAGTATGTACATTCATGATCACTTGTTATTATTTGTATATGTTACAACTACATTGCATATATTATAACTGTATGTTATAACTATTTATTACCCATAGGTATAAACGAGTTCATAAAAAATCATATGTGCACAAGTGCAAATATACACTTCATGTGCACCAATCTATTGTTTATGTCATTCGGACGACATTGACGGCATTGCTGACGTCATTCAAATAATTGTGATGTAAGGTTAGAATGACATCACATACCTGAAGATTATTGACCTCATTTGTGGTTTTCTAAGACGGTGGTCATGATAAGTGCATTTTTCTGAAGGGGAGCTCAAAAAGATTTAGGAAATAACGATTAACAAAGAAATTATTACACTTGCATGAGTGTCACACTGATTTTACGAAACCCATGTGAGAATTCACGTTTTACCCACACTCTCGCCAGCAATTACATGAATTCTGACAGTCATTTCATAAAATAATTGTGAACCACATGCTTGTATAATTATCTCTATATGATATAACTTTGTATGTTACAACTAGGTATGCTATAACTATATGTCACAGCTGGGGGTGTCACAACTCAATTTGCTAATGATGTATGTTTTTCAAACTGTTACAACTGTATTGTTAAAACTGTATATATTAAAATATGTTATAACTATGTACTACAACTGTTATAACTGTATTGTTACAAATACATGTCATATAACTAATAAAAATTCAGGTTAAACTATTGTAACAACTATATGTTATAATTTTTTTGATTTGTTGATTAGTGCCGCACTCCAGGAGTGCAATATGACGGTGGTCGGTAAATAATCGAGTCTGGACCAGACAATCCATTGATTGACATCATGAACATCGCTCCAAGCAGTTGGCCTGTATTGACATGCATCAACCAAGTCAGTGAGCTCGACCACTTATGTTATATCTAGATATGTTACAACTATGTACGTTATAACTGTTACAACTGTATTGTTTTAACAGTATGTGTTACAAATTTATAAGAGGCGACTGTGCTTGTCATAAGAGGTGTCTATGCTTGTCATAAGAGGGCACCATGCTTGTAGTAAGAGGTGCCTATGCTTGTCGTAAGAGGCACCCATGCTTGTAGTAAGAGCCACCATGCTTGTAGTAAGAGGCCACCATGCTTGTCGTAAGAGGCCATCATGCTTGTCGTAAGAGGAGGCCACCATGTTTGTAGTAAGAGGCCACCATGCTTGTAGTAATAGGTGACTATGCTTGCCATAAGAGGCAACTATACTTGTCATAAGAGGAGGCCACCATGCTTGTCGTAAGAGGCCACCATGCTTGTCGTAAGAGGCCACCATGCTTGTAGTAAGAGGCCACCATGCTTGTCGTAAGAGGCCACTATGCTTGTCGTAAGAGGCCCCCATGCTTGTCATAAGAGGCCACAATGCTTGTCGTAAGAGGCCACCATGCTTGTCGTAAGAGGCCACCATGCTTGTCGTAAGAGGCCACCATGCTTGTCGTAAGAGGTCCCCATGCTTGTCGTAAGAGGCCACCATGCTTGTCGTAAGAGGCCCCCATGCTTGTAGTAAGAGGTGCCTATGCTTCTTGTAAGAGGCCACCATGCCTGTAGTAAGAGGCCACCATGCTTGTAGTAAGAGGTGACTATGCTTGTTGTGAGAGGCGACTATGCTTGTCATAAGAGGCAACTATGCTTGTCGTAAGAGGAGGCCACCATGCTTGTCGTAAGAGGCCACCATGCTTGTAGTAAGAGTTGACTATGCTTGTCGTAAGAGGCCACTATGCTTGTCGTAAGAGGTGACTATGCTTGTAGTAAGAGTTGACCATGCTTGTCGTAAGAGGCCACTATGCTTGTCATAAAAGGCAACTATGCTTGTCGTAAGAGGAGGCGACCATGCTTGTCGTAAGAGGCTACCATGCTTGTCGTAAGAGGCAACCATGCTTGTAGTAAGAGGCCACCATGCTTGTCGTAAGAGGCCCCCAAGCTTGTCGTAAGAGGCCACCATGCTTGTCGTAAGAGGCCACCATGCTTGTAGTAAGAGGGGACTATGCTTGTCATAAGAGGCATTTATGCTTGTCGTAAGAGGAGGCCACCATGATTGTCGTAAGAGGCCACCATGCTTGCCGTAAGAGGCCACCATGCTTGTCGTAAGAGGCCACCATGCTTGTAGCAAGAGGCCACCATGCTTGTCGTAAGAGGCCACCATGCTTGTCATAAGAGGAGGCCACCATGCTTGTCATAAAAGGCCCCCATGCTTGTCATAAGAGGCAACTATGCTTGTCGTAAGAGGAGGCCACCATGCTTGTCGTAAAAGGCCACCATGCTTGTCATAAGGGGCCACTATGCTTGTCGTAAGAGGTGACTATGCTTGTCGTGAGAGGCGACCATGCTTGTCGTAAGAGGCGACCATGCTTGTCGTAAGAGGCGACCATGCTTGTCGTAAGAGGCGACCATGCTTGTCGTAAGAGGCCCCCATGCTTGTCGTAAGAGGCCCCCATGCTTGTCGTAAGAGGCCACTATGCTTGTCGTAAGAGGCCACCATGCTTGTCGTAAGAGGCCACCATGCTTGTAGTAAGAGGCCACCATGCTTGTAGTAAGAGGCCACCATGTTTGTCGTAAGAGGCCCCCATGCTTGTCATAAGAGGCCACCATGCTTGTCATAAGAGGCCACTATGCTTGTCATAAGAGGCCACTATGCTTGTCATAAGAGGCCATTATGCTTGTCATAAGAGGCCACCATGCTTGTCATAAGAGGCCACCATGTTTGTCATAAGAGGCCCCCATGCTTGTCATAAGAGGCCACCATGCTTGTCGTAAGAGGCCACTATGCTTGTCGTAAGAGGCGACCATGCTTGTCGTAAGAGGCCCCCATGCTTGTCATAAGAGGCCACTATGCTTGTCATAAGAGGCCCCCATGCTTGTCATAAGAGGCCACCATGCTTGTCGTAAGAGGCCCCCATGCTTGTCATAAGAGGCCACCATGCTTGTCATAAGAGGCCACCATGCTTGTCGTAAGAGGCGACCATGCTTGTCGTAAGAGGCCCCCATGCTTGTCATAAGAGGCCACTATGCTTGTCATAAGAGGCCCCCATGCTTGTCATAAGAGGCCACCATGCTTGTCGTAAGAGGCCCCCATGCTTGTCATAAGAGGCCACTATGCTTGTCGTAAGAGGCGACCATGCTTGTCGTAAGAGGCCACCATGTTTGTCGTAAGAGGCCCCCATGCTTGTCGTAAGAGGCCACCAACGGGATCGGGTGGTCAGGCTCAGGTTGATACATATCATTGTATCCCCATTACGTACATCCATGCTCATGATATCAATTACTGGATTGTCTGGTCCAGACTCGTTTGTTTACAGATGGCTGAATGTGGCGTTAATCAACAAACAAACAAACAATATCTCATAACTCTATGTGTTACAACTATTGGTTATAAAATTGATGTTACAAGTATGTTATAACTATGTTACTACTGTATATGTTAAAACTGTGTGTTACAACTACATATGTTAAAGTTGTATGTGTTTCAACTAATTATGTTATAACTGTGTATGTTACAAGGTTTGTTACAGCTATTGTGGTTATAACTGTGTTACAACTATACATGTTATAACTGTGTTTGGTCTATTAAGTATTAGAAGCATATCTCTATGAGCTATTTAGTATTAGAAGCATATCTCTATGCGCTATTAAATATAAGAAGCATATCTCTATGGGCTATTAAGTATAAGAAGCATATATGTGGGCTATCAAGTATAAATAGCATATCTCTATGGGCTATCAAGCATAAAAAACATATCTCTATGGGCTATTAAGTATTAGACGCATATCTCTATGGGCCATTAAGTATTAGAAGCATATCTCTTTGGGCTATGAAGTATAAACAGCATATATGTGGGCTATTAAGTATAAGAAGTATATCTCTATGGTCTATTAAGTATAAGAAGCCTATTTCTATATTCTATTAAGTAAAAGAAGCATATCTCTATAGTCTATCAAGTATAAGAAGCATATATGTGGGCTATTAAGTAAAAGAAGCATATTTCTATGGGCTTTTAAGTATTAGAAGCATATCTCTATGAACTATCAAGTATAAATAGCATATCTCTATGGGCTATCAACTATAAAAAACATATCTCAATGGGCTTTTAAGTATTAGAAGCATATCTCTTTGGGCCATTAAGTATTAGAAGCATATCTCTATGGGCCATTCAGTATTACAAGGATATCTCTATGGGCTATCAAGTATAAATAGCATATCTCTATGGGCTATTAAGTATTAGACGCATATCTCTATGGGCCATTAAGTATTACAAGCATATCTCTATGGGCTATCAAGTATAAATAGCATATCTCTGGGCCATTAAGTATTAGAAGCATATCTCTATGGGCCATTAAGAATGAGAAGCATATCTCCATGGGCCATTAAGAATTAAAAGGATATCTCCATGGGCCATTAAGTATTAGAAGCATATCTCTATGGGCCATTAAGAATAAATAGCATATCTCTGGGCCATTAAGTATTAGAAGCATATCTCCATGGGCCCTTAAGAATTAGAAGCATATCTCTATGGGCCATTAAGAATTAGAAGCAAATCTCTATGGGCCATTAAGAATTAGAAGCATATCCCTATGGGCTATTAAGTATTACAAGGATATCTCTATAGGCTATTAAGTATTACAAGCATATCTCTATGGGCCATTAAGTATAAAAAACATATTTCTATGGGCTATTAAGTATTAGAAGCATATCTCTATGGTCTATCAAGTATAAATAGCATATCTCTATGGGCTGTCAAGTATAAACAGCATATCTCTATGAGCTATCAAGTATAAAAAACATATCTCTATGGGCTATCAAGTATAAAAAACATATCTCTATGGGCTATTAAGTATTACAAGCATATCTATATGGGCCATTAAGTATTATTAGCATATCTCTATGGGCCATTAAGTATTACAAGCATATCTCTATGGACCATTAAGTATTACAAGCATATCTCTATGGGCCATTAAGTATTACAAGTATATCTCTATGGGCCATTAAGAATTAGAAGCATATCTCTATGGGCCATTAAGAATTAGAAGCATATCTCTATAGGCCATAAAGAATTAGAAGCATATCTCTATGGGCCATTAGGAATTAGAAGCATATCTCTATGGGCCATTAGGAATTAGAAGCATATCTCTATGTGCCATTAGGAATTAGAAGCATATCTCTATGGGCCATTAGGAATTAGAAGCATATCTCTATGGGCCATTAGGAATTAGAAACATATCTCTATGGGCCATTAGGAATTAGAAGCATATCTCTATGTGCCATTAGGAATTAGAAGCATATCTCTATGGGCCATTAGGAATTAGAAGCATATGGTCAGCAGAAGGTGACATAGAAACACTGCAAGCATCCCAATCACTCCTTTTCCAGAATGCCCCAGAACATGATTTCTTTATATCAATCACACAAAATCACAAATCTCTTTGCAAAATGTGTCATGAACCATCTGGAATCTTGCCAACATTCAGAGTTGAGCAGGTGACAGATGACCTCCCTTGTACTTCACATAGAAGTGTGAAAGGCCCTGCTTGATTATCAAACCCATCTAACAGCTTTCCTGGATCTTAAAACCTGAGTCTTTGTGCATAAATCTTCATCAATCTGAGGCTCTGTGCTAGTTCATCATGTCCAACAATATGCAGAATACGGAGGAGTTCTTCAGCTGTGGCCTCTTCACCTTTGAATTCTTTCCAAAACAACATGGCAGTGTAGATTCTTTCTGGGAGGTTTTCTTTCCCTGGATGGATCTGTTCAAATTCCATCATTTTTTCCTCTGGAAAGTGAAATTTCTTCATCAAATAGCGCAGTTCATTCTTGTTAAGATCACACTTCATCCTCTCAAACATCATGTTCAGGAGCAGCTCTGAATGAAAACAGCAAAGTTAAGTGTGAGTTACTGTTCAAATATAAAATACATATCTGTAGGATTATCTCCGCAAGAATTCCTCTTGCAGCTGTGCCCAATTTCTGTTCTTTACATATTGAGAATCCACAAGAAAATCATACAAAACTTCCTAGATATTTCATAACAATTTTATGGAAAACAACTACTGATTTATTCCATATTGTGATGAAGATTTTTACACCATTCTCAAGCTGGAGTGACAACAACTAAGTGATGCAAGGTATATATGCAGGACATGTTGTGATATGCTGCAGATTAACATTGACAACAGATAATAGATAACAAGTAGATAATTGGATGAAGCCAAATGTACAGTAAGAATAACAAATAGCACACAGGTAATGATGATCGAAGCACACAAAACGTCATACAAAAAGACTCTTTCCAAATAAAAAGAACACTATTGTCTTTCATGCTAATGAAAACTTAAAGCACTGTTGCTCACCAAGTACACTCAAAGAGAGCTGAAAGTTAAAAAACTTGAAATCTGTCACCATGAAACAAGGAAAGTATGGTTGCCTAATGACTGTGTAAAGTGGTTTGTTTTAAGCCAGAAGACAGTATGATCCAAATGCAATAGTAAAGTATGAGTGCACTTCAGAGACATAACATATTTCATTTTCCCAACATCATCAAAATGCCAAAATGTATGGGGCCTTAAAGTGACTTAAAATCATAATCAAGATCTTATAAAAAATATTAAATAAAAATGTTTAATTACTAATCAAAATCAGTGATCCCTGTGGGAACCCGATTCTGAAATATTATCACATTTAATTTGCTATTCTTGCTAAATCTAGCATAATAAAAATCTTCTTAAAAAGGGAGTGCCAAATACACGATACCACACATTCCAGATGTAGTGCATACAATACCCTGATAATGATAAACACCAGGTGTTTACAGTGCCTTGTATATTTGTCTCTCTTTCAGGAAAGCAAATGATGCACTATGATGATTGAAAGACACAGGTGATATCTTAAACTTGGTGAACATTCTATGAACCCGCCATGCTTGTCGTTGATTATAATACATGGTGTCAGAAGTCAACACAGAAACTGGGCCGAAAGGAGTTTTGAAGGCAATCTAGGCGAGAACTGGAAACAACGGCTCCAAAGGTTTGAGTTTTACCTAACAGCCAGCGGAATCACTGCGAAGTCAGAGGCCGTGAAGTGTGTGCGACCTTGCTACACGTGGCGGGAGAATCAGCCATGCAGGTATTCAATTCGTTTGAATGGGTGAATGAAGGTGACACTAAAACGTTTGATAGAGTTATACAGAAGTTTCAACAATATCGTCAACCAAAGAAAAGCTTGATTATAGAAAGACATGCATTCTTCATGAGATCACAGAAAATCGGGGAAACTGTAGACCAGTATGTGTCAGATTTGAAAAACAAAGCTAAAAACTGTGAGTTTGCTGACTTAACCTAAGGGTTAATAAAAGACACCATTGTCTGTGGTGTGACAGTATGAGGATGCGCTTATTGAGAGAACCTAGGTTTGGCTGATACAGTTGACCTGTGCAGGGCTACTGAGGTTAGTGCACAACAATTATAAGTTCTGAGTGAAGAACAAACAGACATACATGAGGAGGCACACACAAGACAAGGATGTTGTGTTGTTGCAGAAAGGCCATGGTAGCTCTGGCAACATGGGGACAAGTGTTGTCCTGCTGGAAAATGTGTTGATGTTGTGCAAAAAAATGGAACGTGGGGTCTGATCACTTGGTCGATATACCGCTGAGCAGTGACGCCGTGTCCCCGACCTTGACCAACATTCAGAAAGCACATGGGTCCAAGTCTCGTATTAAGTCCAATCCCTACCCATATCATGACGCTAGGTCCACCCCATGGATTCCTTTCCACAACGTTTCTATCAGCAAAACGATCACCTCAATGCCGCCAAATTCTGACTCTTCCGTCTGCATGGGAGGCACAAAAGCGACTTTCATCAGAGAAGAGGACACACCTCCACTCACGATGACGCCAATTGTGATGACCCTGTGCCCCCTGAAGTCCTGCTTGTCGATGCTGTGGTTGGAGAACAGGACGACGTGCTGGTCGGCGACATCTGAGGTTGTTGGAACGGAGACGTCGGATCACAGTGTCCCGGCTAATATGTCGACAATACCCTGATAATGATAAACACCAGGTGTTTACAGTGCCTTGTATATTTGTCTCTCTTTCAGGAAAGCAAATGATGCACTATGATGATTGAAAGACACAGGTGATATCTTAAACTTGGTGAACATTCTATGAACCCGCCATGCTTGTCGTTGATTATAATACATGGTGTCAGAAGTCAACACAGAAACTGGGCCGAAAGGAGTTTTGAAGGCAATCTAGGCGAGAACTGGAAACAACGGCTCCAAAGGTTTGAGTTTTACCTAACAGCCAGCGGAATCACTGCGAAGTCAGAGGCCGTGAAGTGTGTGCGACCTTGCTACACGTGGCGGGAGAATCAGCCATGCAGGTATTCAATTCGTTTGAATGGGTGAATGAAGGTGACACTAAAACGTTTGATAGAGTTATACAGAAGTTTCAACAATATCGTCAACCAAAGAAAAGCTTGATTATAGAAAGACATGCATTCTTCATGAGATCACAGAAAATCGGGGAAACTGTAGACCAGTATGTGTCAGATTTGAAAAACAAAGCTAAAAACTGTGAGTTTGCTGACTTAACCTAAGGGTTAATAAAAGACACCATTGTCTGTGGTGTGACAGTATGAGGATGCGCTTATTGAGAGAACCTAGGTTTGGCTGATACAGTTGACCTGTGCAGGGCTACTGAGGTTAGTGCACAACAATTATAAGTTCTGAGTGAAGAACAAACAGACATACATGAGGAGGCACACACAAGACAAGGAAGGACAAAAAGCAAAGAGGATATTATGAAGACAGGCGAAATGCACAGTATCCAAGATGTAGGGCATGTGGCTATTATCACATAAAGGATAAATGTCAAACTGCGAGAAGAATTTGTGAGTAGTGCAGTGGCAGACACCACTTTGGAAGTATACTGACACGCAAAAGAAACGCAAGGCGAGTATGCAGTATACAGTTTATTTATTTTCAACAGTAAAGACAAAAAATACCAATAGGGCAAGATTGACAAAAATTTGACTGAAGACAGTTTAATGGATTAAAAGGCAGATGACATAATTGTTTTTTTCAAATGTTAAGGGCTTACACAGTTTCGGGTCAATACCAACAACCTCAGTCAATACCTGGTGTGACCACCATTAGCATTGATCACTGCCACACATCTCCTGTACATTGAGTTGATCAGACGATTTGTGAAGGCCCTAGGGATCCTCCTGCACACATCCAGAGTAGCTGTGCATAGTTCATTGGCAATTGTAGGGACTGGGCGCACATTGTGCCGACGCCTTTGAACCTCATCCCACAAGTGTTCGATGGGGTTCAGATCAGGGCTGAGGGCTGGCCACGGTAGAACACGGATGTTGTGTTGTTGCAGAAAGGCCATGGTAGCTCTGGCAACATGGGGACAAGTGTTGTCCTGCTGGAAAATGTGTTGATGTTGTGCAAAAAAATGGAACGTGGGGTCTGATCACTTGGTCGATATACCGCTGAGCAGTGACGCCGTGTCCCCGACCTTGACCAACATTCAGAAAGCACATGGGTCCAAGTCTCGTATTAAGTCCAATCCCTACCCATATCATGACGCTAGGTCCACCCCATGGATTCCTTTCCACAACGTTTCTATCAGCAAAACGATCACCTCAATGCCGCCAAATTCTGACTCTTCCGTCTGCATGGGAGGCACAAAAGCGACTTTCATCAGAGAAGAGGACACACCTCCACTCACGATGACGCCAATTGTGATGACCCTGTGCCCCCTGAAGTCCTGCTTGTCGATGCTGTGGTTGGAGAACAGGACGACGTGCTGGTCGGCGACATCTGAGGTTGTTGGAACGGAGACGTCGGATCACAGTGTCCCGGCTAATATGTCGATTATGTGTTCCTATGGTCTGTTGAGCACTTTCACTTGCAGTTAGGAACGGATGTCGCTGGTGTTGAGGGGTAATCTGCCGATCTTGTCGAGGTGTGGTGGCCCTAGGACGACTGTTCAAAGGAAGGTCTTCTGTGGTCTGTGTAGCATTGTATCGATGCAGGAGATGGTAAATTGTGGTTATGTTAACGTTGAAATGACGGGCAACATCTTGGACAGACTCTCCAGCTTCCAAACGTCCGATAGCCTGGTTTCTCTGAATTTGAGTTAGGCGTGGCATTGTTGACCAAGGAGTGGTAGGTACAAGAATCGGCCACAGTTTTATACCTACCACAGTTCGTGACAGTTTGTGCATTTTCGATTTCGCGAGAAATGGATGCATGATACCCATTGAAATGGTGCGTTTTGGCGATTTGTTTTTTATGTTGCGTTTTTACTCAGGGCTTATAACACCATCAGGCTTCACTACATGCTAAAACTCGTATCAATTTATGGCTCGGTGTTGGTTACCTTAAGCTTAAAACCACTTGCGTTTCTTTTGCGTGTGAGTATATGTGCAAAACAAGACAACGTATGTCAGATATACGAGACCACCCTGACAACAAAAATAGACATGTACATGTGGTGGAGAATTCAGAGTCTGAAATTGAGGATTTTGACCAACTATTCATCAAAATGCTGGAGTCAGATTGTGATATTGAGGACTGGAAAGAAACCCTGACAATTAACAAGAAACAGGTAGAGTTCAAGCTTGATACAGGGGCACAGTGTAATGTCATCTCCAAACGAGTGTATGACAGTTTGAAACTAGTAGATGAACAGTTGTCAGAATCTCAAACAAGACTAGTTTTGTATTTTGGATATAAGACAGCCCCACTTGAACAATCAAAGCTAGAGTGCACATACAAGGGAATTAGTTACAAGATACTGTTCCAAGTTGTCTAAGACGACAGACCTAGCATACTTTGAAAGAAAACATGTC